CTTCCTTCCTTCCTTCCTTCCTTCCTTCCTTCCTTCCTTCCTTCCATCCATCAGTGTTCCAATAAATGCACCTACAGAAAGCAGAATGCTGAGGCAGGGAAATTCCTCAAAGAACAATTTATTGGATACATCATACTCACCACCCTCCAGACCTTCCGCATAGCCCTTAAAACCTGGCTGTCCCGACAGGCCTGGGGCTAAAGACCTTAACCCTGCCCAAATAGTATGAATGTTGTGCTTTTAATGATGTATTGTCTTATATGTAACTTGGTTTGTCCTCCCCTCCCCCTGAACTGTGAGCCGCCCTGAGTCCCCCCAGGGAAAAGGGCGGCATACAAATAAAGTATCTTATCTTATCTTATCTTATCTTATATAAGTCTTAAGTGCTATTGCTATCGCTGTTATTCACTCAGGCAGGAATTAAAGCCCTGCAAAACTCTGTCATCCACCATCAATCTTCCAGAAGAATATCATTTAATAGTGGTATGAAATTCTGCTGAGAAGTCCAACAGGTCCAAGAGTTCTATATTGCAGACCTGACAAAGATAATCTATGAGAGCTAGTACTGTTTCTGGCTTATATTCAGAAACAGTTTGATCCCAGAGCACTGTCTTCCTTCATCAGAAACACAAGGTGACTTTAGAATGTGTTGGTCCATCCAAGAATAATAGATCAGAATATCTAAGTTGAAGTTAGGCAATGTCCAGCACATTGTGTCATCCAGTAGCAAAACAAAGCGGCCTTCATAAAATACAGAGTGCCTGACTATCCATTGAACCCAAATTCATGCACTGATAGTTATTGTTTATCCTCCTTTTTAATGGAAATTCTGCTTTATGTAATAAGGAGTAGATACGCAATATAGGGAGCTGATTGTTATCTATTCTATCTGTTGTTTTTCTATTCCACATCAGGACTTCCACAGTGCTCGAGTTCTGTTTTTTGAGACCACAAATATAAGAAGCAAATCTACAATGGGACTTTATTTCTAATATCTCTATGCTATGATCTAAAATTGTTCTAAACACACACAAAATCATGTGGTGGAAACTGTATGTGGTTTGAAAACTGTAGGTTGCTCTTCCATGCTCTGAAGTAATCGATGTATTATAAAATAACCCAAATCCCCTATCAATAAAAATGGAAAAAGCTTTCAAAGCATGTAACACACATTCCTCTTAAATGAAGCTATTATTCCATGACTTCTGTATTAAAGTCTTTTATTTTTTACACGGGTAACCAACATGTGTGGCTTTCCCACCAAGTATTTGTTGGAAACTAGCTTGCAATATTAGAGGAGGGCGAACACAATAAACACAAAGAAAGTAGCTTCAGGCATGGCTTTCAGTGGCTTTTTGGCACATGTCCACGATGTGTTTGCAAACTTCAATCTGATCTTAAAAGGTGTGAGGAGGCTGTTTTTGTTTTGTTTTGGTGAAAGGGGGTGGGGAGGCTCACAGAGAAACAGATGGTGCAAAAGTGACAAACTGGTCTGCCACGCAAAGTGCAATTTGTCCCTAACTGCTTTTGTGATTCTGCAAAATAAACCCTGCATGCTTGGACAGTTCTTCCCAAGGGCAGATGTCTACATTTGAGAATCTGACAAAATAACTTCCGAGGTATATCGGATTGCAAAGCAACTGAGAGAGGGACGGATTTCTTCTGTTAACCCTACACTCCCTGGCAGGGGGTATATAGTGCACTTTGGAATTGTTAAGGTGGCGGATAAGAGGAGTTGATCCAAAAATAGCTCAGGCAGCAAGAAGTCTGCTGCCTACTATTGAGCTACAGATAACACTTAGTATTTTTATTAAGCCATCAGAAAAGGCCGTGCGGAAGAGATAATTTTAGAAGTTGTCTCTTCCAGCGAAGAAAATCCTCAAGACTCACTGGAGACCACCATGGAAATTGTGGCCTAAACTTCTCTTGGTAGGAGTGCTTTATTCAAGCAACTAAAAATGGATTAAACTCCAGAGCGAAAAAAATGGAATGAGGCGCCTACCATGTAGCTGTTTCTGCATACCCCTAGCTAGCTGCCAGAAGGGTTTCCAGACATGAAAGGTTTTATACAGCACTTTTGGACTGTCTTTGGGTCACTATGAGGCTTCCCTGAGCCACAGCCGTATCCTCTGGCCCTGCTTATGCTACAGGATCAGCCTAGGATTCAGTTGGAAAGTAGCTGTATAGAATGGAGGAATGGAAACTTTGGAAGAAGGTTAGTGAGCCCTTCCCCCCTTAATCCAGCCCAGAAACCTCCAGATGGAAATTTGGCATAGAGAGGACTTATGTGGAGGTTTTTTGTAGTGGTGATTCCCTCCTGTCTGAATTCGCTTCAGTGGAGTTTAGCACCAAAATCCATTTTGTATGGCAGAGCTCACTTAATAAATTTATTTCTAAGCATATGCTACATGTCATTTTCTCAGCATTAATAACCACTTGTCAGCTATTGAAGGCAGGACTTTTAAGCAAAAGCAGTGGTATTTTCTGCATTTTTTTCACCTTTTAAAATGTTTGGGAATGTGATTCTCAACTTGATGTCTTAGTGATTACCAGCACAATCTTTTTTTTAAAATTTAAATACCGCAGTTGTTCATTTGCTATAATGTTGAATGCTTAACTTGCACAACCTTAAATTAACTCCTGATTCAGCTGTGGAACTGGCTGTGATCAAATTACTTCCTTTAATTCATTCAGTTCCTGTAAAATTATAATAGCATTGAGAAAAGGCAAAGTAAAGCTTTCAACACTTTCATCCTGCTAAACTGTATTTTTGAATAACAAAATAGTTAGTGAAGTGTGAGGATAATTGTCATGTTTATTTCAATGGCTAGGCAGCCATTCAGCTCTTTATATAAGATTCTATGTCCTACAATTATAAATTCTAGTATGCGTATTAGAAATCTCTAGTTGCTAATCCTTTCTCATAAACATTGCACTATGTATTGTTGTCTCTAGAGGAGAACAAACCTTTTTCTTTCCTAGTAATTTAGCCTTTTGTTTCTGAGCCTCAAGAAGAAAAACCCTAAATATTAAAAATCTTCTTTTCTTGTTTGCCTTTTTCCGTATGAAGAACTAACTTTTTCCTTCTGCCAGAACAGAGTGATTTCAGCCAAGGATTCATGTTGCCTTACCATGTTTTCTGCACTCGCTCCCCACACCCTACCCTATTCCATTCTGTGCAGCAGAAGCTTAGATGAGATACTGGTGTTAGAGCAGTGATAGTTTTTCAGCGTGACCTATTTCTTTTTGGCAGCAGCTATTTTCCAGAAATATTCTTGTTTTAGCAAAGAATCAATGTAATTTGAAGGCTGAGGGGGGGCATGTCCCAGACCTCTGCCTTATTTTTCCTTTCCTTCTTTGATAAAGAGATTAAATGCATTAATACATTAAGTATGTTAAAACAAAAATTATAGTTAACTAACACAAAACATAATGAAAGGGGGAAAGAAGAATTTGTCACAATTTTAGGCTGTAGGACATTGCTTACAAACTTAAATTTTGAGAAAGCTTTTCATGCAAGTTTATGAAGGTTACTCCACATGCATGCATGTTCATCTTTTGCGATACCTGCCTATCCAATTCAGTCTGCCATTTAATATGTTGCATTGTCCCAAAGCAGCCTTCCTCAGCCTGAGTGCCCCCAAGATTAGAAACCTCTTAACACCCAAATTTCTCTAAGCAACATACCCAGTGGAGAATAAGTTCCAGAACAATGTTAAACTGGGGGATACTGTGAGAAATGAAAAGGAAAATTACAAGTACTTGTTTTAGAAGGCTTGCTAAAAGGAAGACCATATTGCCTTAGCACTTGCTTGCAATTGTCATGTCTGTACTGTTGGCACCTGCTAGCTAACATGCAGTTTAACTATTTTCTTTATATCCAGGAAATGCTGAACATTCTCAGCATTTTCACCAAACAATGATCTTTAGAATCACAAGAAAGATAATAAAATTAGAACACAACCTAGTCCACAAAAGTCTAATTTGTCAGATATACTGTATGTTGCACTGAAATCCAGCCAGCTAAAAATACTATGATCTGACACCTCTACACGATTATTTTATCTCCAGTGCTAATTGATTTATTGCATTTTAGTTGAGGTGTTACTTACGCTTTGAAACACAAGGAATAACAATAAAGGTTAGTGAGTTCAAGTGAGGCTAGACAAGATAGATAATATGGCATTTATTCATGTCCTCTCATGTTTATAAGGATCCAGATTTAAGTAATGAATTTTATTTGCCATATATTTGGTCTAAGCCAATGGCCACTGAATGAAGAAATGAATGAAGCCAAGGGAGAACATAAACCTAGCAGAGATGAATTACAGATAAAAGATTAGATTAAGATAAAATAGATAACCTTTATTGTCATTTTTACCTTGAACACACTGGAACCCATTAAAAATGAAATTCTGTTGCCTGCTCTCAAAAGAAAATATATATCAACCCATACATATACATAACACACATATACACATGATTACACAGATACACACCTGTATTTGTATACACACACACAGAAACACACACACTAATCACTTTCCATTTTGAATACATAGTGGAAAGAAGAAACTTGAGAATTCACAAGGTTGATGCTATAAGAAACAAAACTGAATATTTTGATTGAACTGTGATTGTTATGAAAGAGGTCTTTTATATGCTCTATTTTAAATATCAGCTACATATCAGCATAGTAAAATGGAAATCACAGGTGTGGAATCTGTGATTCTTGAGAAACTGCTGAACTATAGCTTCATGAAACCCCTTCTAGGATGGCCAAATTTACCGTGAATTTTAATTCAGCAGCAACTGGAGGACCATAGGTTCCCCAGTCCTGTGAGTAGCTAGTGAGATAATTATTTTCTGTGATAGAAATTCTGTAGTGGAAATTCAATTGAACATTGCTTTAAAAAATATAATGTGAATCTATGATATAATTTTAAGCTAATTTATTGTAATCTCTTTCAGGATATGTTTCCCAGTTCAAATGAATCGTCTGCCACGGGAGACTCTTCTGACAGCCACGCTCTTTGCTATTCCACTCCCACCTCCTGGGAGTTCTTCGGAGACAAACAAGCAGCGCCGCACCCCAGAAGCTCTGGGCTGGGTCACTACTCCTCTTTTCAACTTTCGACAGTAAGTGTGCCTGCTCCTATTACTTCTGTGGGAGGAATAGTGAACTCCACTGAGGATAAACAATGCAGCTTTTCAGAACATTTGAGATGAATTCCAAGGAGTTCACTGTATTACTCTATTATAACAAGCATAGAAAAGGAATCTGAATAACTCTCATCAATTAGAGTTCAACTCGTTAGCAAAAATATGCACTTAAATTGGCAGGTGAATGCATACTGTATACAGATAACCATATACTATATATTCATTAGATACATTGATATGAAGGGAAAAATTGCAAGGCCATACTTTATTTTTAATTGAATCATTGAATCAAACTTTCAAATAATAAATGATCCAATGGTTCCTATTAATTGTTAGCCTTTTGTTGCTTAACACCTAAGCCACAGATATGGGGACACATAAGGAATTGGAGTATGTATCCATGAAAAGATTGCCAAGAGAGACTTGCCTATCCACAAAATAGCCATAGTGGTTGGGATGGTCATTCCTAAAACAATACTTTACTGAACTAGCCCCTCTTACCATATGCTCTAGCTATAATTTCCAAGAGATAGTCCTCAGAGAAATAGGACATTTTCCTAGTTATTTTCTCTTTTAAAAATGTTTTATAAAATCAGATGTTTCAGGAAGCCTGATGAGTTGTAGAAAAACGTTTGGGGGGCATGTTAGTTCCTACAGGCATCAAGTTACCTACTTCTAATCTATTCTATCCCTTCAGAGAAGAAACAGTGGCCCAGAGAAAGCTGGTCAGCATGGCTCAAATGACTGTGTGGTTACCCAAGATATATAAATATAGCAGCCAACATTCCCCTGTATGTTTTTTGCTGCAAAAGTAATCCAAGATTATTTTTAGATTTTGTCCTGTATAATACAAAATCAAGACAAAAATACCGTTTCTCTGAAAATAAGACCTCCCTGGATAATAAGCCCAGTCGGGCTTTTGAGTGCATGGACTAAAATAAGCCCTCCCCGAAAATATTGCAACACAACAGCAGTCATGAGGTGACCATGCAACCACCTCCTGCACCTCAAAAATAATAAGACCTCTCTTAAAATGAGACCAAGCGCTTATTTCAGGGATCAAAAAAAATAGGACCCTGTCTTATTTTCGGGGAAACACAGTACCTGTCAATTTACAGAATTGAAAAAACTTGTTAAATGTTAGGAAAATCTTTCTTGTGGTAAAAATGGTTCAATAGTGGAGCCAAATTACCAAGAGAATGGAGAGCTTTCCTCAGCTGAATATGTTCAACAAAGACTGGACCACTATTTTCTAGAAATTCTTCATTTGGGCTCCATTTCCATGATTCTAAGTAAACAAATAAATATTGGTCATCTACACCTGCAAGTAATAATTATGCTCAATAAAGTTGGATTAAAAGTCTGTTTCAAAGAAAATGCTTTAATGAGCATTTTGAACAGTGACATTGATATTGTCAGGATAACAAAGCAGCTTGAGTTTGCTTGGGTAGATTCTGTTGGAATTGCTTCCTCTTCTAAATTAATATTGTGCTTTATACAGGATCTGAATTTGCCATCAGTGACTTTGCTTCTGTTTTTCTTTTCTTCACAGAGTCCTGACTTGCGGAAGGAAACTCCTAGGTTTGTGGCCTGCAACTCAAGGTCCTTCTAGTGCCAGATCAAGCGCTCCCAACTTTAACCAGCCTGATAGTGTTATTCTACAAGTGAGTTTCCTGCTACAGCTATGGTTTTTATGACCTAAATTCAGACAAGAGGAAGTTATAATGACACTATGTCCACAGTCTGCTGTTGTACAAGCACCCCTACTGAGCTTAATTTAAATTCCTCTTTCCAGAGATATACAATAACTGATTTGTGGAAATTTTGTGCTGAGTTTGATTCAGGTGTTGGTGAGGATTATGTTGCGTGACTTTCAAAACAGAGTATCTTTGATTAATGTTAGTGCACTCCAAAATTATTGGCGTAGAGTTCCAGCTTTTCAAAGGGAGGAATGAAGAATCTATTCTACTCCATAGGTTGTTTACACAGTAATGCAAAGTAGCAATTAAGATGTCAGATTAGGACTGGGAATTCTCAAGTTCTAGTTAACCCCCAGTTATGGATGCTCATTTGTGTATTTGGGCCATCCAATATCACAGGGAGTAGCAGCAGGTAGAAATGAAGGGACATTCCCTTACAAGCTGCCTTAAGTTCTTGAGAAAAGTCGGGAAGTCAAATATAACAAATCACCACCTCTGCCACATCAACTAATGTGCTTCAACTTTGTCTGTGCTGGGTGGGACTGGTAGGAGTTTTATCGCATCATCTGGAGGGCCATACCTTCCCTATCCATGATAAAGGATACAGGGATAACAATGCTGAAGGAAACCTCATTAGTTCTTGGGGTTTCAGGATTTACTTTTTAAATGAGAGAAACAAAGACTCCATTCTGACCCAAGGAATGAGGAGGACGAGGAGGAGGTCATATTTAAATGAAAAATAAAAATGTTGTGAGAATGTGCTTTTAGTATTAATAATGCTTTACCCACACTCAATAAAGGAAGAATGCATATCTTTCCAAAAGCACAAGGAGTTTTGCACTTGTTAATTTTAAAGATCTGCATATCTTACATTTTAATATCTGAAGGGCTGTCACATAGAAAAGGGAGCGGACTTCGGCACTGTCTGGCCTTAGAGGGCAGGACCAGAACAAATGTGTTAACGGTAGAACAGGCTGCCAAATGAAGTGTGAGTTCTCCATCAGGCAGAGAATTTGCTTTAGGGCAGGAGTTTTCAAATATGATCAGCCTGTGAAATTTTTTTTAAAAAAAAAATCTTATAGCTCCTGATCAAGAAGCAAAGCGTTAGAAAATTGGATGTGTTTGAATGAACTTTTTCCTCCTTTAGTTTGAAAAACCCTGCTCTGGGAGATCCTGCACTGAGTAAGGAGTTAGACCAGATGACGGTCACTCCAACTCTATGATCCTTTGATTAATTTGTGTTCATAGATGGCCATTTAGAAATCATTACATTTTCAGTACCAAAAAAATGCATCTTAATTAGAGTTTTTTCCAGTGAGACCAGTCTATCAGGGCAACCTGCTTCCACTTTCGCCTTTCAATCCCAATCCAGTAACCTTCTCAGGCAGTCACTTTCACAACTAACTATTTTTGTGTTGAATTTGTATTTTACTGACATAGTGTCTCTTTATTTCTTTGTCGGTAAAATATAAATTCAGCATTAGAATAAGACCATGAAGACTTGGTTGTCGCCCCAGGTGTGTCAAGGACCAAAGTGCTTACCTATATTAACATCCATGTTACAGTTCTGCTTGGTTCCCTATATATTTGATTTGCATTGTTTTAATTGTTTTTAATTTGTTTTGATGTTCTATGACATACACCTCTCAGAGTGACTTGTGATACACAGTTATAGAAATCAAATAAATGAATCTTACAATAGTTTGAAAGACTGTGATTAAAGTCCTTGATGCCAGTTCTATCCTAAAGCTAACCCCCGGTAGCCATAAACTTCAATGAATGTCCTTTCAAATAGCAAACTTTTGCTCTGATAAACTTCAGATAAATTACTGGTCTTTACTAACTAGAGACACACTAATGCTATTCTATTCTGGTGGATTTTTGTTTAGGAAAGCTAAGATTATTATTATTAAGTTATCCTTTAATGCTCTTTCTTGTGAATACATGAAGGGAAAAAAATCAATGCTGGGATATAAGAAGCTTGATATAATTGTTTGCTCTTTCATAGAACTGTTTTCCTTTATGAGGGAGAGGCAGTGCTGTTTCCCTGGATCTTGATTCCCTAAATCATTCTGATTCTTCTGTTAATACCTATAATGAAGTACAAGTCCTCGTAATTTATAACCCCTTATTGTTATTCACAGTATTTGTACACTCAACAGCAACTATTTCTTCTTTTTTGATTGCTTCGTTGTCTTTTCCTTCTTTTCAACTCTAGAGGATAACTTTCCTTCTCTCTCCTCCCCTGTGTTCTTTCCATGGTATTTGTGAATAGCATTTTGGCTATGAAATGAGATGGCAAAGTCTGCTGCTTAGGGTGTGGACAAAAGGAATGGAAGGCAAGGTAGAGATTGTTAAAGACTTGGCAGACAAAGAGGGAATCCAGCTGGGCTGGTTTAAAAAAAAATCTTCTCCCTTGGGTCATATCATGTACACACCACTGACTTGGAGTAAAAATGAGAATCATTACTGAGCATCTGACCTTGCTCCATTTACTTCCCTTCCCTGCTGCTGCAACTCTCTGACCTGCTTCTTCAGTATTGATTTATTTGGCCTGCAACCAAGCAGTTAATTTTACTTTTCCACAGTTACTGGTACTTACAAATCCATTGAGTTCTTCATGAATTAATATATTGTTTTCATCAAAGCTGCTACTAAGATACATTGAGCATGCAATAACAAATGCTTGCTCAGTGCATTTATGTGGACATCATATCTTTATCCATAATTGGATCTGGTTGAAACTTTCTAATTGACAAGAAATCTGATCGCATCTGTCATCTTAAAAAGAAAAACTCAAAGGAAATACCTTATTAATCTATATAACAGCAAAAAGGCTCAGATTCCGCAAGAATTTTAAAGTCTTTGACAGACTGAGGCAACCTTAAAACACTGGCATTTAACTTCAGTTTGATTTTCTAAGTATTTCCAAAGATGAAGCAAAGAGCAAAGAGTGACACTGACAGAAAACAAAGAGCAAATATGAAAGAATAAGCATATGAATTCAAATTTGAGCCTACTCTGTTGCAATTATTTTCCAGCCTGATTGCAATTGCAAAATGCATCACACTTTTTAGAGTAATGTAAACTGTATTAGGGAAGAACTGGCCAGAAGATCCATAAAATCACTAGTATTTACCCTGAGTTGAATGTATTTAGGGACAAATGAAATAGTAAGGGTGGTCCTGTTCTTTGCAATGATATTTGTGAGGTTTATGACCTTGTGCATCTTGAAGAAGTGAATATAACTCTCCATCATATAAACCCCACCAGGCGTGGATTTACCATTTGCCCCTTATGGCTGGTTAAAGTAGCTAAGGAGGGGAGAATAAGTGAGATCCTAGCTATAACACCTTGTGGCAGGTGAGTGGGTGAAGTCTCAGTAGTCTTGAATGATAATCATAGTTTTATAGCCACTACCAACACACTTTGGGGAGAAGATTCTCAAGAAAGTGATGGAACAACTAGTACATAGGATTTTGGAAGAAATAGATTGTCTGAACTCATGGCAGTTAGAATTCAGGACATAGGACATGGGGCAGCAATCTCATTAATAACTTAGGGGAAGATTATTTTCACTCGCTGTTTTAATACTATTGACCACAGTATTCTTCTGGGTCATTTGTGAGGATTGAAAGGGGGGGGGGCTGAGGCACCATAATGTGATGATTTTTTTTCCAGAGTGGACAGATCCAATAAGAGTAGGACATGTGGAGCCCTCAAATGCTCCAGGATGAGGTGCACTAGGGCTCAATCTTTCTTATACTGCTTTAAAATATACATAAAGCCATTGGAAGCTAACCTGTCAGTTTGGGATGAAATACCTTCAATATATTTTAATTTTTTATATTATGTTTAAACTGCAAAGATTCAGTTGATTATGACTAGTGAAGTGTGTGTGTGTGTGTGTGTGAAGTTATATAGCTCCACCTTGTATTGACTTGGAATTGTAATATAGATGGCTTGAGCCAATGCTTGGAGACTCCTGTATTGGAAAAAGGAAAAAAAAAACCCTAAATCCTAATCCCAGCAAGACAAGGGAGGTATTAATTGAGAAAGCTATTGACTAGGACAGATGTCAAACTGGCAGCCTGCAGGCTGGATGCATCATGTGCTGGCCACACCCACCCCAGCTCCACAAAGGCAAAAAAGTTACAATACGTCATGTGATGTCACGTGATGTGATCAAATTTGACAACTGTGTTCTAGGACAATACAATAAAAGAGCACATTCATAATCTAGAGTTCTTCTTGGAATCATAGTTCTTGCTACAGGAGCTGTTGAAGACAGAGACCAGGAAAGCTTTGGACCACCTGTATCTGATATTCCAGTTGCAGCCTTTCCTAGAACAGAACAAACTGAGAATAATCACTCATATCCTTGTCAACTCTTGCTTAGATTGCTGTAATTTGTTCTACATGGGATATGTTTGAAGACTACCCAGAAGCTGTATTTCGTGCAAAATGAAGCTACAAGTGTGCTTACTAGATGATCTCAACATTGCCACATAATACTATTACTATAGGAGCTGGATTAGTTACCAGGTTATTTTGAAGTGTGTATTCCATATGTGGTTTAGGTCCTGGGCATTTTGGAGATCACCAGTCCCAGGGAAATTCAGTTTATCCAATCCTGATAGTTACTGAAGTTACCAACCCAATATAAAGTACAGTGGGATAAGATACAGAAGTGAGCATTTTCTTTTTTTTTTTTCCTATCAAAGATTCTTTTATTACATTTTCATTCTCCTTTATACAATCACTTAAATACTGTGCAGTTGAAAAA